GACACCTTTCAATTTTAACCCAATCCAAGGGTTTGTACCGGTGCGTCACACCTTTCCATCTAAAAATAAGAAACAAAACCATTAGCTTTTCTTATAGCGTGTATAATTTTCCATTCTCATCTTCATCTTACTTCTTTTTTTAGTCATTAGTAATTTACTTCTTTGTTGTAAGGCAGAACGGATCTAGAAGTGAAACCGTAAAATCTTATATAAACACACGCAAAACCACACGGTTTTTAAATTATAATAAATTAATTAAAGAGTACATTATTTTATTCTGGTTCTAAAAACTGGAATTTCAACTCCTTAAGGTCTCGAACTATGGACTTCTTTTACATAAGTTCATTGCCTCACAGAAGCAGGCATAGGCTACCATCCCAGCCATGACTTTTATGAACTATTATTAAACTGAAATAATATCTTTAAACTCGAGAAAAAATTATGCATGTTTTATGCATTAACCAGTCAATTCTAATACGAATCCAGGTCCTTGAAAGACTTCTTACCTTCTGGGACATCGGTTTCAATCGCTTCAGTTCAAAAGTTATCATCCACGGCTTGGAGAATTTGATATTTAAATTTCATTTAGTCTAACTAGATATTACCAATAAATTTCAAATGCCATTGCTTTAAAATATCAGTGGTCATACAATGGATAACAAGAAACAGTTTAATGCTTACAGTTTCAGATGAACACGCTCAGGAGGAACAAGCTGAACTTGCAACAGATGCTCAAACAATAAGTAGTTATGCATGCATTCTGAAACAACTTTTGCAACCTGCAATTTTGAAAACAGGGGAAAGAGAACACAGAGTATGTTAGGACAAACATTCAGAAACACAGCAACTTAGTTGGCAATCACCATGCACAAGTACTACCTCAGGAGATTCAAATTCGATGAATCCAAAATGCCTCGATTTCCCTGTCTGTCAAATAAAAACAACACAAATTAATAATAACATCACAAAAATTGAACAACAATAGCAAATATACTGCATCATGACATGCTAATATGTCAATCATTTTGAAAATAAAGGAAGTGATTGGAAGATCTCCACCGAATGGTAAGCATACAAGGATTAATTTTGATGTCAGAAACAATCCAATCAAACACTTCGTCGGCACCATATGTTCATTAAAACCAAATTAATCTATATTTCCAATAAAATCCTTGCTGCTTCACATAATATCAAGTTTAGAAAGAAATCAGTGTCACACCAAAATTTTTAACTGAATAATTATAATAGTAATAGGGTGGCCTTTGTCACCAGGAAGCAATAGTAATTCATCTACGGGAGCATCAATACACTTTTTGAGGTCGGTAAGACCAGTGGAGGAAAGTACCAGAACAATGCAATTACACTTATACATTCACAATGTAAGATACTGTTTATCAAGGTTGTTGGAAAAACAATATGGATTGCATTACAACATGAGAAGTTGGAATATGAAGACCACTGAAATGTGTCAATTAAAAATTTTAGGCTGAGAATCTGGTTGTGGAAAACACATGGAAAAACAATTACGAAGGAATCACAATAGCAAAA